TTGTATTGGATGACCTAGCCTTAATTGCCATCATTATGAATCTTAGTTGAACCATGACACAATCGGCCACATATCATGGGAGCCGGGAAGGAGGGAGGGGGGGATGGAGCCCAAGTAAGCGCTTATCAAGGGCGTATCCGAGCTCCCCCCCTCCCAGACGTTTTTGGGCTCCCCCCTCTTTAGCCCCCCCAGGCCCCATGAACATAGGTGTCCTTTATAGGTTAGTTTGTTTAAAAATAAATGGCAGTGGTTTAGATGGGGTCTATTCGATTTACCAGGGAAACCCGTCTATTTTTTCCAAAAGGCAACCTATGGCCATAAGGAGTTTTCGAGTCCATAGCGTCAGGATGCCATCAGCTACAACTCGGTGATCAGCGCCTGTGTGCGGGCCTCAGAAAATTTGAGGTCCAGATCGGTCGAACAAATCTTGCAGGTGTTCTAGGTCCCCCAGCAATTGGTGCCCTTCTCTCCCAACTTTTCTGGTTGGGAGGGAAACCCCCTACTAAAATAGACTACAGCAAAAAAAAAGTCGGGGAGAAAGAGCACGCGTATTACTGGCCAACTTGTCCAGGACCTTGTTATCTCAGAGTCCAGGACCTTAGTTTAGAGGGAAGTGTGGCTCATGACATGACCTGGTTGTTTCTGCTTGGTTCTCACTTCCGATGATGGGCCAAAAACAAGAACCAAGCTTTGCATTAGGCACGAAACTTGCGATCGGTGCGAAATCGTGGAATGAGAAATGGAGTGAGGCCAGGGATTCCCTGAAAGGAAACCACCAGGCCGGGATGCCAAGCACCAGCAAGTCATCTCAACAGGAGCTTCCTTGTGGGGTGGTTTGAAAAGGGGAGAAAAAGGGAACCCCGCAGATTGACCCTGAATGATTTGGCTGTGGTTGTCAAAACGAATGGGATCCCATTTTTGTTGGTAGGTGAATTTTCACCACCCATTTTAGTCCATTTCGGTGGGGATTGGGAGGTTCACTGGTACGGGATTTTGACCCCTGGCCATGTTGCGCTGGTTAGGCCTATATAAGATCCTGATACCCTTGAAGAACCAAACGCCAATGGGGTCTCAGGACAGATTTCATGTGGGTGTTTCTCAAGATTGGGGACCTGCAGGTACTCACAAGTGGTTTCCTGTGGGTTTCCCTTTAAAACCAATTTATATAGAGGGGTTCACTATTTGGAGAATCCCCATATTCTAAGGGTTGATTCCCTCTTCTCTTCACCCATCGTTCTCTTTGCACACCACGCATTTTCTTAGGTTGGAGGATTATTGAAGAGAAGGATCCCTGAAGAGAATGCGGAAGGTACAGCTAGACATACTGTGGATGGACAAAATCCAGTACCACCTAAGCAACCGTGAGACACCATTGTTTGTTGGTATTTGCAGGGAAATCATCCTTCCAGTGCGAAATGGATTTCGCAACCATCCACAGTATGACCAAACCATTTTGGGGTAGGTGCACCACCCATTTTTCGTCAATTTTAGTGGCGGATTTGGATTCCCTGGGGGTACGACTTGGATTTTGACCCATGGCCATACGACCAAACGCAGCTGAGCCAAGGAGGGCCCGCAGTGGCCGCTGGCGTTGCACTTCCTGCGGGCCATGCGGCGCCAAACTCTGCAGCCCACGGCCTGCGGCTCAGAGCCGAGTTTTGAGGACGCCGAGCTTGAAACAACGGGGGGTTGCACACCTAGGTCCCCCACCCTATTTAGCAGCTAGGTCCAGTGGGCCGCGACGGCGCCACGGGCGTGTTGTTTTCGGTTGCCACAAACTGAGGGAAGCACCAAAATGCCGGGTTTCCCTTTGCTAGTTGTCCCCCAGCAATTGGTGCCCTTTCTCTCACTCGTTTCTGTTTTGGTTGGGAGGGAAACCCTACTAAAGTAGACTACAGAAAGAAATCGGGTACCCTTATTTTAACCTCTCTACTGGAGGACCTAGACACTGTGGATGGGCGAAATCCATTTCGCACAAGTTAAGAAACCATGTTTAAAACCCCATACCATAACGTTTGTTGGTATTTACAAGGGAATCATCCTTCCAGGGTCTTTCAGGTGGTGCAGGATTTCGTCCATCCATAGTAGTTGGGTGTGTCTTTTCTTGGAGTACTTGTACCCATTTGCTGTCTGTGGTTTCGAAGGGAAACCTAAAGTAAAACCGTTGCGCCGTTTTGGGTTTGCCCTGATTCAAAGGACAGATGTGATTCTCGGGGAAGAAAAGACACATTTCTGGAAAGATATGCTTTTTGGGGAGAAGACCATTTTAGCGAGAACCTTTCAACACATACTTGGCTTTTTCAATGGATGCTACTCTGGATGGTTGCGAAAGCTTGTTGAGAAATCACGATTGAAACCATCGTTGGTTTGTATTTACAGGGGAATCAAACCATTCCAAGGTGGTGAAAAACAGGGTTCGATTTAAGCTAGCAACTGTGGCAGCCTTGGCCAAAAACGGGTTCGCTCAGGCTCAGGCTCCCGGGCGTGCGCCTATTTTCATTTGAAAGGAAATGCCCTTGTCAGCGACCAAAGGGTGCCCTGAACGGAAATCCGCTGGTCCGGGCTGATCATGGAATCTGATTGACTTTCGGGCTCCGATCCGTGCGTTTCACTATGAACTGACCTGCAGGTGGTCCTGTCGACCTTTTGGTATTCTCATAGCCTAGACCGTCAACCTTCCCTATCTTTCTGCATGGCTCCGAATTGCGGGGCTTGCAATTTGTTGGCTGCCTGCATTGCCAGCAGAGGACTAGACCGCATTTTTCTTGACTGCTATTGGGTTGGATCTTTGGACTTTAACTTTTTGGGTTTTCCAGTAGACCCCAAAAAAGTTCAACTTTTTGCAGGTGGGTCGTTGCAGCAACCAAGCTTTTTCAAGCGGTTTTCAGAGGTTCCATGTTTGCAGTTGCAGTTCCTGGGCCTTTCTCACATCAAGTCCCAACGCCAACAAAGTCCGGATTCCGCAGCTGCTCCAAAGCAGCACCCACACTAGGTCCCCCAGTGCCCTTCTCACCCGTTTTTTTTTTTTTTTTTTTGCGAGGGTTCCCCTACTAAAATAGACTACAGAAAGAAGGGGAATTGCCCTTATTCAAACCTGGCTACTGGAGGACCTAGGTAAAGACTTGTCAGAAAGGGCCAATCCATTCACTTCAAGGGTCCCCTAGTAATATTCACACCCAAACCTGAATCAAGCCGACACCACAGCCGCTGCCAGGAAATGCTAAAGGGTGTCTTCCGGGGCTGTTTGATTTGAATTGTGTTTAAACACCTGGCCCCTGGTCCAATTCCTTGAGAAGCCACAAAAACAGTAGTGATATGTAAACATGTTTTACGGGGTGCCCAATCCAGCTTTCTCCTTTAGTTTTGCATGTTGCCAGCCCCAAAAGTTGAGCACGGGTGAGAAGCGGCTGAATGCCAAGTGAGCCATCAACACCGATCCGGGTGGATGCAGCTTAGTGTCGGCACTGTACTTGGTGTCCCTGGAACGTGTCCCGGGACTTACCAACCCTCCTAGCAGCTGTTGGACTAAGATGGCTTTCCTAACCGCGCACCACTAGCCCAGGGAGAACAAGACTGTATATACAGATGTGTATATATATATATATATATATATTTGGTCACCCCCCCATGATCTACATGTTTTTTTCTAGTGTTTTGATGTTTGTTGCAGTTGTTTGAAGTTGTTACAACCGTGTTTGCAATCATTTGGAAGATGACAGACGTTATGGATTGGACAGACTTGGAAGCAGTGAACGAGGCTTAAGAGTTTTCAAATGGGGTGATTTGGAGGCAGTTGATGCTGCGGCTTGAACAGATTGTTTTTTTGGACCTTGCAGCATTTTAGCACCTCCATGCTCCAAAGTGCTGGAAGGTCCAAAAAAAGCCAATCCTAGAGCTCCAAAGTGCTGTTGGGTCAAAAAAGCTAAAACAATTGTTTCGGAGCTCTGAGGCTTGACAAGATTGGTGCTAACATGCTGTAAGGTCCAAACAAAAACGATCTTTTCAAGCCTCAGATCTGTCCAAGACCCAAGAAGTGTTGTTATTTTTTGACCTTACAGCACTTTGGAGCTTTAGGATTTGTTTTTCTGGGACCTTACAGTAGTTGGGAGCATGGAAGTGCACAATCCAATCTTTGGAAGCAAGTGGGCCACGGCTTCGTCAAAAGTCATGTTGCCATCCAAGTTGTCCTGGTAGATGGAGCGGGCGAGGGATTGAGCGAGCTGAGGTGTCTCAGAAGCCATGACTTAGAGCAAAGAAGGCGGAGAAAGCGATTAGGGCGCAGAAGTGGATCCTTGAAGTTGCTGCATTGCTGCAGCAGAAAGTTTCATTTGCATGACAGCTGTGACGTGATTCAGGTGCAGTTGCAGACGCGTATGAGACCGTTACTTAGTATATGAGTTTGTTTCACTCTCACTACCTTAGACAAGCAGCTTCTTCTTTTTGTCTCGAGAAGCAACGCTTTGCAGGGAAAAGGACTCCTTTGGAGCCTTCAACAGTCCTCACCATTTGCGTCAGCTCCTTTGACAAACTGTCTCTCCATTACTGGTCTACTTTGAAGTGGCAGTCGTTCAAGTAGAAGGCCTCACAGCCTTAGATTGGCCATAGCTTTAATGGTCTCGTTGCCTCTTTTGTTTCAGCTTGCCAGACATGAAGAAAATATGAAAGCAGACATGTTTACTAATTTGCGATTGCCAAGGAGCCCGACTCCGAGTAGCCCCTTGACAGGCCAGTCCCTGCAGGCGCTGGGGCTCGATGGCCCAGGGCAGTCGCGCATGGCGCTGAGAAGGTGGACAACCGCCACTGGGAAAGTGCGCGCGAAAGGGGTTGACATTATACTAGACAGAACAAATACGAGGAGAGGGCCAAAAAGCTTCATGCCCAATGTTTCTGACAAGGACCCGTGCGCATGCAAATGTAGATCATGGGGGCCGGGTGAGCATATTTTATATATATATTTATATATACATATATATATATACAGACACAACATGTAGTGGTTGTGTAGCCCATTTAACTCCTGGGGGTGGTGGGTTGGGGATACTTGATAGAAAACCGTCCCTAATTCTGGCGGGTTTCATGTTCGGAGCGTAGCAGCAATCCCTCGGGCAAATGGCTCGCTTCAGGTGGTCACCTACAACACCGTCATGGCCGCCTGACGCCTGCCTTCTTGGCGCAGGGGCAAACTTCGTTTGGAGTGGCTTTACACGAAACCAGACGAGAACAACATTCTTTTTTTTTGAGGCACAGCCAAGTTTTCCTTCAATGCTCTTTTCGACAACTCTTTTGATTCTGAGATTTTTTCCATGACGCGTCGCATCTGAAGCAAAGAGGGGCAACGGCGCTTCGATTTCTCAAATCGCAAAAAATCGGATTACCTGCTTGCTCGCCTGAAATCCGATCATGAGAGCAGTCCTGTACATGCCCATTCGTTCCACACACTTCTAGCTTCCTATGCCGAAAGAGACCTATTCTCGGGGCTGGAGGCTGCGCTGTCGCAGATAGATCAGGGCTTCCAACAAGTCATTGCCTGATTTAGCCAATGTATGTATATATTTATGTGCACACATGTTTGCCCTTTTGGCCTTCTGTTTTGTGCTCATGTTCCCTTTGAGCCTGGAAAAAATGAAAAACTAAATCTGGCCAAGAATTGCGGTCCTAGCTCGGGATCTTGCAGGGGCCCTCACCTGCAATGATTGAACCATACGGTAGGACCATGCTGCGGATGGTTGGGAAATCCGCTTCTCGCAGAGCTTTTCAGAAACGCAAGGGCATGATTTGATTCCCTTGTCAATACAACAAGCTTTATACTTCCAACCATGGTTTCTTAGACGTTGCAACATCATCCACAGTAGGACCAATGGAAAAAACCAAGCAGATTCGGCGTGTCTTCCCCCCTCAAAAAGCACATGATTCCTTGTTCTACCGCTGACTAGAGAGCACGCCTCAAAAATGGCTATGAATTTCAACCACTTCAAAATTGGTGGAAGCCCAACGGAACATACCAACAAACGTCATGGTTGCAACCATGGTTTCATTTCGGTGGCGCGAAATGGACCTTGCATTCATGATAGATGACTCTCCCCGAAATAAACCGAACTTCCCCAGAATTAGATCCCCTTTTCGGTTTTTTGTTTTTTTGGGGCCCCATTTTTTTGCTCTCACCACCGGCACTGTGTCTACCACGTCAGCCGAGGCCCCAACTCGGCCCTGGGGCTCTTGCAGACCATGCAGGGGGAGGTCTTGGAGCCGGATGTGATCAGCGCCTTGTCCGGAGCCAAAAGAAAACAACATGGCAACACGACTTCATTTGGTGTGGCCCTGACTTCATTTGGCTGTGGTTGTCAAAACCAATGGGATCCCATTTTGGGGTGGGTGCACCACCCATTTTAGAACCAATTTTCGTGGGGATTGTAATGTTCACTGGGGGTACGGGTTTCTGACCCATGGCCATTTGGTTTGGACCTGACTTGATTTGGATTCAAACAACAGGTGTGAGTATCTCATGACTTGTCTTTGGTTTTAAACAACAGGTGCTATTATCTCATGACTTGATTTTGGTTTTAACATTTCTCGCAATCCCATCCTGATTATCAGTTCTGGCCCCTGCAAGTCCTCTGTGCTTCAGGATACTGTATTCTTCTTGAGGGAACTTCCCTCTGGGACCCTGCATTCCGGCCACACAACCAACCCAGGAAACACAGATCCGTATGTGAAAGAACGATGGTTGCAAAGAATAAGCCACCATATCCTTTCGTTTGGACACATATGTTTGGGGACTGCGCTGGACCGACCAGCGTCGCATGGAACCCACCCAGGGAACAGGGCTGATTTTGGGCCCGGTTCCTTCGCTTAACAGGCAGGGGCATTCAATCATTGCTCAGCCCGGGTTGGGTTTTTCTGTCTCAAGAAGGGAGCTGCAACCCAACTCATCAAAGGCACTTTGTCACGTGGGGCCCGGCCTTGACCCTCTTGTGACTCCCTTAAAAAGGGCAATGGTGTTGACATGGTCCAACATCAGGACCTTTGTTTGAAACATCCTCAAGGCTTCGGCAAGCAAAAAGTATACCCTTGGACAGAACATGTGTATGCTCCATTTGTGTGTATGGTTGTTTATCTTGCTGGTGCTCAGGGAATGACCGAGCCCGGGCGTTTCGAATGAACCGGTTCTGGGGATCCCCGAAAAAAGGACAGCAAGGGATGTTTTTTTTTTTTTTTTCTTGGGATCATTTCCCTTCTCATTCCCTGCGTCTCTGGCAGCGATCGCAAGTTATTGACGGCATATACTCGGTTTTTCCAGTATTGCCCTTTTACCCTTTTTTTGGGGGAGGGTTCCCCTACTAAAATAGACGCCCACCAAAAAGTTGGTACCCTTATTCTAACCTCTCTACTGGAGGAGCTAGTCTATATAGCCAAGGGCGGTGGTTGTTTTTTTGAGTGGAGGGGGACTCTGGTGCTGAGGCTACGGCTCGGCCATCTCTGCAGGAGCGAGCTGAGGGAAAGAGGGAACCTGGACGACTCTTAACTTGCTGAACCATTCGCTGAAATGGATATGTGAGGTTTCCCTCGCTGGTTGTAAAGGGAATCCATCACGACATACCTTTGGTTCAGGGTGTTTGACGTTTGCACCGCTCCAATCCAAAACCACTTACACACAAAACACATCAAATGGCTGTTGAATTTGTTTACCGAGTTTTGTTGCTCCAATCCAAGCCAGCACAAAAGATCAAGTGGCAGTTGGATTTGTTATCTTTACTTGGTGGCGAAGCCAGCCATCCGGTTTCTTAGCTTTTTACATCCTTTTCGTGTTTAGTGTCCATGTAACCCACTAAAAGTTCTCAGCTTTGAGCGGCGGATCTGAAAACGGGCAGCCCGGTTTATATCCGCTTGCCCAGTGGCGCCCGTTTTCGTTTTTTGTTTGTTTGTTTTCAGGGCTCAACCTTTAAACTCAACCAGCCCAAAACGGATGCCCTTCTTTTCCCATTGCCACTGGGCATCTGAGTATATTCGGCCAGGAGACTGGCACCTGGCGCTCCATTTGCTGTCCTCCATGTTGCGGAGCCAGCTGGTGCCGGACATCGTGTGCTACAACTCGGCGCCTCGAAATCGGAATTGCGGAGAATCAGAGAATCGGAGCGTGTATTTCTTTAGGGTTGATACCATGGACAAACTCCGCAAAAAGCACCAGTTGGGATTGGTGGTGTATCAAGCATTAGGGATCCATCCATGTAGCTCCCTGCAAGCAGCCAGCAACCAGCAGGAAGCATTTGCAATCTGCAAATGAACCTGAGGGTCCTCAACCACACAGGAGATTCTTCTAAGCCTACGTTATGGCAGTTTCTCAAGGGCGAAATCCTGCACCACCTGAGAAACCTTGGAATCATTCTCGATCCCCTGTATGTTTTCCAACCAACGTTCTTTTGTTCAGTGGTGCACCACTTTGCACAAACGCCACACGTGTGGGCTGGTGTCAACAAAAACACAGGCCTCTCGTAGGCGATTTTGGACATTATTTCAGTTGCTCCAAGCCCAAACACAAAGAAGAGTGACATGAAGGGTAGACAATTGATCAACAGTTTCCTTCTGTTCCCCTTGTCCAAGGATAAATTGTCTACCTATTAGTTTCGGATTAACCTGGTTTGATGTTTGGTCCAGGAGGTAGCACAGGCAAAGGAGAAGGAACACATCTTAGCAAGCACCTGCTCTCTCACTCGATGTCCAGGGATATGATTGCTTTAGAAGTAACATGAAGTAACACTCCACCTAGAGAAAAGTTTGAAGAAAAGTTTGAAGAAAAGTTTGAAACCACAGGAAATATAGGGCGCCCGCTACGGCTGTGCGGTCGGATCTGCATGCAAAAGAAGGTGCGCTCACTGCCAATCTTGCCCTCCTTTGCGAGTGAACCAAACGCACAATCACCGGCATCGCCGCTTGTTCCCTTACTCACATGCCCAGTGGCCAGGGGAAAAAAAGGGCATCCTTGTTTTGGTTGGTTGAGTAAAAAGGGAACCCTTCCCCCCAATAAAAGGGAAACCAGGGCAACTCTGGGCAACTGGGCTTAGATGTTTGCCGGGAAAACAAACGAGGATTTCGTCTTTGGGTTGCTCTTCCCCGCTGAGCAAAACTTAGTTGTGAGCCTCGTGGTGCTCCAGGGAGGCTTAGGGAGCCTCAAGGAACCTCTTTCTGGGACCGCCCCCTAACTCCATAAACAAACGTCGATGACCTGCGAAAGGCCATTTGTTTCCAACAGGTCTGAGAGGCTAAGGTCATACCAAACACCAGTCATTCTTTTGTTTACCGGCCAGGGTTCCTCATAGGCCATAGGTCCAACCTAAAACTAATAATGACGACCAACAAGGCGCAGATTGAACATGTTTCAATCCAGCATTTCACAGCACTCAACAAAGGCATAAAGGGACCCGCACTTCAAATACTGTCGGTGGACGAACTCCTGCACCACCTGGGATGCATCAACCAACTATTTGCAACCAACTGGTGCACCAATGGATGTATCAACCAACACTATGGTGTCAACCACGGAAACTCATTGCAGTGCTGCGCCAGTTAGCTGATTTGTATCAACCAATAATTTGCCACTAACTGGTGCATCAATAGATGTATCAACCAACATTGTGGTTTCAACCATGGCAGCTCATTTCAGAGCAACCAATACCGTCCCTCCAACTGTCATGGCACCTGTGAGAGGGTACCTGGAAGATCAAGTTCCTCTTGGAGGGACCCCCTTTGTTATGAAAAAGTGGGAGAGAGGGTATTTACAGGGCTTCCATACATCCATATGGCCATGGGTTGCATAACCTATGGCGATCCCATTTTGGGGTGTTCCATTTGCCACCGATTTTTTGATGTTCAACAGGGGTTTCCTGGGTTCCATCCCTCTGGCGGAATTGTTCAGGTGATGACCGCGTGCACGCAGTGCAGCCGGTGGCCGGAGGCCCTGGCCTTGCTGGGCCTCTGCCAGAAGTCCTCCACCCAGAAAGACGCCGCCGCTCGGATCGGAGCTCGAGGATTTTTGTTCCTTTTTTTCTGTTTTTTCTTGGACTCGGGTCAGGGGTACCTTGCACTACAAGACAAGCAAAAATGATATTCCGAGTCGTAGGAGCAAGCTCTTGGTAGCGAAAACTGTTGTGAAGCGTAGGTGGGCCCCGTCCAGCCTCGGGTGGTCGTTGTTTTTTTGGGAGTTGGCGCCTTTTTTCTTTTGGCTTCCTCGCGCCCTGCCTGAGTTCTGGGACTCTGGGACTTTTTTGTTTTTTGGTTTGGAGCATTTTGGTAAACAACAACAGGGCTCCTTAAGAGATACATTTGGCAACCATTTGAAACATGGAAAATAAAGAGAAACCACCATTTACAAGGCAATGTTCAGGTGTGTAATGTAAGGATCCCTGAACAAGTTCGGAGGCCAATCCACTCAGGAAGTGAGTTTGAGAGGCAAACCAAGAGACGACCACCATTTTGAAGGGTCTATTTTAGGACACACCCGCCCCAAGATGCAGATGGGTGGTTGATTGCGCCTGGGTTTAAGTCTATAGTACAGTCACAAATGAGTGGGTATAGGGACGCATATTATAGTTCGAGTTGGAGTGGGAATTAGTGCTGCCCATGTTTATTGCGTGCGATTCCACCTGGAGCACCCAAAACCCTCAAAGTGAATTGGTTTTGTGCGCTGCTCACCCGAGGGTAAAGCGAGCTCATGATATATATATATAGTCAGCCCTACTTGGTGTATTCCTTGTTTCAGGTCTTGGAATTATCATATACGTTGCAGATGACAAGTGACGAGGTTTCCTTGACGATACGAATCGCTTCATTCCGAAACCCTGGTGATTCCCCGTTGGGAAGCAAGCCTTTGCAGCCCCCACAACCCATCCCTTGGCGTGCTTTCCTTGACTAGTTGGGTTACAAGCCCCTTTCTGCCAAGCCACTCGCTCGAGAAGCATTGGTTGTTCTTTTAGCCCTGCACTTCAAGAGTCCCCACCACTTTTTTCTTGGGGGAGGGGTGGTCCCCAAAACATGTTGGGCACAGCTCTCCATGCAAATATCCCAAGGTTGTCCATGTCACTTTATGCCTCCCCAAGGGTCGGTTTCGACCATCTTGGTCGACATAGTTTGCCCGTGCCCGAGGGTCGAGGTTCTTCATTTTAGAGAGCCCGTGGTGTTGCATTGGAGGGGTGGCAAGAGTCAGAGAAAGAGAACTTCCCCCAGTTGGAGACATTCCCATTTGTGCCCCACGCTTCGAGCCTCGAATGGATTTGGGCAAACTCGACCTCACCAAGGGCGTCTTCTGCAACCGAAACCCCAAGAGTCGTTTCCTAGGGGAAATATCTTATGTATTTTGATCACGAGGAGGCAAAGGTTGAATGACCTTTAATGCCAATTTGAGCAGTTTTGGCCTATCCAAGACTTTGAGTAGGCCGACCACAGACAAACCCCTAGTGTGGGAATTCGTGCGTTTCCCCACTCAACTTCTTTGTGGGGACTCAGCGTCTCCAGCCCCAAACCTGTTTGGGACCTCCATTTTACCTTTTGACTTACCCCCTAAAACCTTCCTTGGGTCGCACAGCACTTTACGAGGATCTCCCGGCTCGGGAGATCGACCGAGTTCCTGTCTGGGCTTCTCTTACTCGGCTACCTTGGGCAGGGGGTTCCCCTAGCTACTTTTGTTTGGGGTAGACAAGCCATGAGAATCCTAAGACTTGGTTTGCAGATGTGCTAAGCTTTGAGGACGTTCCCTGCTAAAAATCGAGCAGCAACAAAAGGGCTTCCCCGTCATGCCCCTGAGCATCCGCAGGTTGGGGAAGGTTTTGGTAGTCCTGGTAGTTGATTTGGCCCTCGGATTACGGCACGGGAACTGCTCTGATTTCCGTTGTTCCCCAAGGTATATTCCCGATGTGTGCGACTGTGGACGATTGCAACATCCACGCCGATCAGGAATTCCAATTGGGATGGGTGAAACCCCAACAAGTACCTCAAAAGTAAAACACCTGGCGCGAAATGGATTTTGCAACCATCCGGAGTCCACAGAAGCCCTGAAATCAGACCTTGCTGCAAATGAGCAAGCCTCGGCTCAAGCCTCCCTCGCACGCAAGCCTTCCTCGAATTCCTTCGCTTCACAAGATGCGTGAGCTCGTGCACGTGCAGGGTGGACAGCGCCTGGGCGGGTTGCTGGCAGAACTCAGGTTTGCCACCTATGCTTGACAGTGCTTCTAGGTTCCCGAGTAGTGCCCTGTTACCCTTTCTTGGGGGAGGGTTCCCTTACTACGATAGACTACAGAAAAAGGGCACCCTTATTCTGACCTCTCTGCTGCAGGACCTAGGCTTGCTCCGTGCAAACGATGATTGTGTTGACTGGCATGCGTGTTGTTGGAGGATGCCCTTGTTACAGGCTTCCCTGAATTGGGGGTTTGGATGGGTGGTTTGGGGATTTATGCGGATTCGATCCTCTACAATTAGAGGGGATCATATATGTTAGGTACGTAGCTTTAACTATTTGGGGTTCGCCTTGTTTCGACTCAAAGTGTGTGTCTGTGTGTGTGACTCCCGGAAGGGAATTTGGTGGAGTTTCTTCACCTCACCCAGCGCCAAGTAAAAGTGGGCCACGATCCGGTCCTATGAGCTCTTTTGTTTCTTTTTTGCTTCGCTGTGAGTTTGGTTCGGGTCGGACCAAAAACGCAGAGGCACCCAAGGAAGAAGGCCCCCCGCTGGCTGGCCGTAGGTTACGGACCCTGGGGCCTTGTCGAGGGACCCCGCCGGTGCAACACCTCGAGTTGGCGCATGAGGCATGTCCTTGGTTCCTTTTTCTCTTCAGCTGAAAGCTATGGGGTTTCTCTCTTCCCAGATGGGCGCGTGCTTGCGGGGTGGTTTGGGGCAGCTTTCAGAGAGTTCTGGAGAGGGTTCCGGGGCTGTTGGGGGAACACACCTGGGTTTATGTTGAATCATGTTTTCTCACTTGCTGAGTTCCGTTTCGGAATCGATCGGCCAGCCCCCTCGAGAGGGTGAGCTTTGGAGTGGCTTCACTCGTCTGGGAACCGGGCTTGTGGGATTTTCATGGATGCCCTAGGAAGCTATAAGGGGACGGTTTCTGTGGAAGAGATTCACTTCCCACTTGGTTGGATGAAACCCTGGAAATCATGATGGATACGCCACCAATCCAAACTGGCGCGTTTGGCGGTTTTTATTCCTCCACAGGAATAATTGTCTGGTTCGCTGCTGCCTCCCCGCAAGTACTTCCCAAAAAATGAGGTGCGGCAACCAGATCGGTGCGAAGTTCTGGGAAGTGATTGCGGACGAGCACGGCATTGACCCAACAGGAGTGGAACAATCCAAATGGGTCTGGGTCAAAATCAAGCCACCAGGATATGGACCAAAGGGTTTTGTCCTTGTTTCCCAGGGGGGGCGATTTTTGACACCCAAATGCCCCACAGGCTGGTTTTACAGATCGCCTGGGCCAAATGGAGTTTTCCTGTTGGTGGGATGGTTGGGGAAAATGATGGGGATCGAGGCCTGTTCGCCGGAGCCGCGTGTATTTCCTAGCCACATGATTCACTCTCCACTGGATTTCCTTGAGATGAGTCGCCGAAAAAAATATTGGGTGGGGGGGGGGGGGCGTTGGCTGAATTTTTCCTGAACTTCCCCCTGTGTTGATTCTTGCCTAAAGTCAGATCCACTCAAGTCTCACAAGGGGTGTTGTTTCGTTTGAGCTGTTCGCCTGTCAGAACATTCTTTCTGCTGGAAACGTTTTGACCATGCTCTGTGCACTTTTCACCCGAGTTTTGCGCGCATGGTGGACCGCGCATCGGGGCTCCACACGAATTCACAAATCAGAGCGGCCGTGCCCCACTCTCCGATTCCGGTGGACCTTCACAGCTGGAAGCGTGGAGTAGATTTTCAGGGAAGAGTTTCAGACAACTTGCCAGGGGTTCCAGGGCTGTGAGGGATATCACCGTTTTTTGTTGTTTGGTTGCTTTCTTTTTTGGAGGGGGGTCCCTCTCATTTCCCTCTCATTCAACCAACAAAGCAGGGCGTTTGTGTTTGTCGTCACTGACTTACATTTGCGTAAGAATAACTTTCCATTTCCCGTGTTGCTTTCCAAGGGAGTCTATCACTTCTGGAAATATGTCTTTTCCAGCAAGCGAAGAAGCAAATTCATTTCATCCTTCCGCAGGCACCTACCATGGAGATTCAGACCTTCAGCTTGAAAGGAGCCTTGCCAATTGCCAGTGGAAACCAATCAGGTGTCCTTTTTCGAGGGTACCCGTTTTGGGTTGGTTCACAAGGAACCAACAAGAACACGTTCATTTGTGGTTTGCTTTGGAAGAAAGGGCCTTGGTTTGTGGGTTCTTTGGACATTAAGGTTGCCTAAACATGGACCAGAATCAATCATCATATTGATGGACGAACTCCAGTTCGCACCGCCTAAGAAATGGTTGACGCCATTGGTTGCTAAGGTATTTACAATGGGGATCCAATCATTCCGTTGGGTTTCTTAGATGGTGTGAAATGGAGTTCGGAACCATCCACAGGCAGTTGTATGGGGGCAAAAGCCGAGGCAGGGAAGCGAGTAGTGAGACAAATGTGTGTGTGCGTGGGATGTGCCTGATTGACATGTGGTAGATGCCAGCAGCTTCCACCATTAATGGATAGATTGAAGTGGATGCCCGAAGCAACTTTGAAAGCTACATTGCCATTTCATGCCAACATGGCATGACTGACATTGAATTAATGGTCGTGCAATGGGTTATATATTGTTCATTCATAAAGCGTTTTCGGCTCAATGATTGGTTGGTGAAACTTGAGTTGCCGCTTGTTAGCCGGTTCGAGCTAGAAAACGCTCGGATGTGGGGTTTCGTGGTCCCTCCAGGAGCCCGTGCTATTCTGACCTTTTTGCCTTTTTGCCCTCTGGTTGTCCATCATTGTCCCCTTCGACCATCCAAAAGCGAGCTTTCTGCAGGGGTCGGATCAGTCTTGTCAAGCGTTGATCCGCTTAAA